GAGCTCCATTCCTTACAAACTTCTCTTCCAAACTTTTCACTTATCAGAAATGGTAAAATTACTAGCCACGCACTTACAGAAATTATTTGAAGAAAAGCGCAAGAAAATTACTGGATCAACCTTTATCAATCATTCGCAATAAATCAAGTTTGCCTTACAGCAACTGCACACAGTGGTGCATAATAAATTGCTTAACAATTGGTATCAGAGGTGGAAAGGGATGTAATGGAAAAAAAAATATGGGCGTTTGCAATTGTGGCTAATTTTTGCGACACAAGGTTGGATCTGCATCAGAGAATTAGCTGCACTTGTTGCCATGGCAGAATCTGGTGGACTTTTTCGATAAAAATGCTTGATATAATAATTGATATGCGATTGTGAGCCTGCCTCTACAAATGAAAGCAAATCATAGTTCATAAATTTTTCAGTGAAAAGTACCATTTTAAGGAATCGTTAGGTTCAGTACTGGATGTCAAACTAATACCTATGGTTTTATTTGTAGTTAATGAGTTAGCTTATTTCCATCTAATTCATTGATTTAACTAAGAGCCCTACCCTATCCATTTTGACGTCGTTTGATCGTTGTTATCGCACCTTCTCCCAAAATTAACGGTGTATCCAAGGTTCAATCGGCAGTTAGGTAGATACCTAACACCAAAACCCTTAGACCGTGCCTGTCCCATCGTAATCACCATTCTTTGGTTTGATTTCGTAGGATTCTTTGTAGCATTGTTATCAAGCTATTATTTTGAATACAGGTTCAGTGAGTGTACACGTACTATTTTTGCTATCATAGCATTTTTTCCCATTCTGCTTGCCAAACTGACTCTTGATTCTTTTTCTTGTGTTTCATTGGCACACTTTATTGTACGAAATAAACATAAATCAGAGTCATTGTCGAAAGCGGTTCTTATCTTAGGCCCTATTTAGTGTTAAGGCCATGGTAAGGAAGTCCTCTCGAAAGAGTGATAATTGTTGTGAACATTCATATTAGTTAAGGTGGTTATGTTGTGCATTAACAGCTCTAAAAACTACCTTTAGAATATCTCATCCGTTGTAACTATAGAAACCAGAAATTTTTTGTTTCTGAAGTTCCCTGTGCTTTTCTTGTATTTATCTTTGAAAATAAAGTATTCACACTGCAGTAGTTGGAATCACTCGAAGCAATCCAGCATTTACTATCCACTTACATTTACAGGAATCTACTCAAGCACAAGTGGATGCATTGATCTGCTTACTCAAGACGAAAAATCACTGGGTTGGGCCAATGACTGACGCTCTCATCAGAAATGGACAGGTGATTTCTTAACCCTAACAAATCACAGATCTCGTAAGTCGGGTTTGCTAATGCGAGAATCAGAGTTTAACTTCGGAATTTTTAAAGTTCATACTTAAATCCTTTGCACAAAAACTTGCTTTGAATTAGTATTGTTTGAAGTCATTCCATTGATCTTTGGGGAAATACACGAGATCAAGAAATAGAAATAGAAATAGATCTTGTTGAGGCACTAAAATTGTGTTATTTTTTACTTGCAAAAAATAAAGATATGCAACATAACTTTAGTTTCAATTAGAATCGGCTTTATCTTGGCAAAAGATTTAGCCACAGCTAAAGTCATTTGATTTTGAGCGGCGCAGACATGGGAAAGTGAATATTTAAGGGTGTAGATCTATAATTTCTGTAATTCTGCCATTTTTCTGCATAAAAACTAGGTTCACTATGTAGTTGAAGCTAAGGAGGATTTTATGGAAAAAGAAAATAATCATTTTTTGGTATAACATTTGCATATTTAGGCACCCGTAGCAAAGATGCTTCTACAGATGCAACAGACCAGTACCGCTTGATATCC